GATAAGATTAAGCAAAAAATCTAGACAAAGAGTCACTACAATTAAGTCACTAACTAATAAACAAAAGGGCAATTACATCTTATGATGCGCCTTCGCACGCGCCGTACAGCGGTAGTGTACGAAAAAGATATAATTCTAATCGGCCATGATAATGTAAACTTTATTACACCGCAATAAGATAAGAATAATATGAAATAATTATTTTGTAATTGAATCTATGCGTGCTCGCCGACCAATGACCGCGCTTTCACTGTCATCCATCTTTGTTCCAATCGATTTTGATTTTAAAATTGGAACGCCAAACGGTATGACAAAGATTTAAAATCGAAAATGGCATTTGGAACGGTTTTATTGCTTATTTAGTCTGTGACGTACGTCTATGGCATAATGAGTGACCAGTCTTTACCTGATCAAAACGTTGTTGTTAACATTACAGCCTGTAAAATACCGATTTTAGAAGGACAAAAAACTTTCAATACAACTTTTAATAGAATTCAACAATCATATAATATGTGTTATATCTATATTCTCTATTATTTATTAATATTTTGTTACAATTACATATTTGTAAAAGAAATTTTTTATCATAGCATTTAATAATTTAAACATTTTTTTATTAAATTTAAGTTACGCTCCAATAATACATATTATATAAACACAAAATTATTTTAAATCTTATGATTAGATTTTAGTTTTTAAATACATTAATAAAATGTGTATATTTGTTTAAAAGTAATATCGCAACTACTATTTATGGAGTTCCCGGAGATGTTTATGAGTAAGAGCTCTGGTCATCTTAACTTTGTCAAGATAAAGGATACGTAAGTAAGTATAAGTTAAAATTAGGAGAAACTGTCTATGCCACTCCGCAAGGAATTATGCTGGACTCTACTAACTTTAACCGATCCTCAAAAAGAAGGTTCTATGTTCTGTAAATATTTTTTTATGTTTACCTATTTCTCGGAGACGGCTTGACAAATTTTGCTACTTAAAAATTATATTTTATTAAGTTCGGTCCTGAGGTAATCCTATAAAATCTTTGACATAGAGGCATACTCGAACGTTTTCGAGAAAATCAGAAAAGCCATAAAAATTCAAAGGCAAAAGATCTAACTAATTTTTTACCTACGTCTAATTGTCTTATTAACATTTTTAACCTTAGAAAATAATCTAAGCTTCAAATTTTACAAGTGTTTGTATTTCCGATATTAAGACAATAATAATCTGAAACTAGAAGGTGAATATCTAATAGGTAAATGTGACAAGATATGAACTTCAATTGTAGTTAAAATTTATTTTGCTTTTTACATAAATTTGTGATGTTGAGATTATTAGCTTTGTTTTTGCACCGGTTGGCAATGACTTCGAAAATATCTTAAAAGGCGTCTATAGCAAAAGAACACCCTCCCCCCCCCCCACTCTCCTCTCCTCCTCTTCAGTTATTTTCTACCTACTTTTTAGTGGCTTAAAAATCGTTTTTTTCCCCTTTAAAGTTAATTTATTGATTTCTTCACATTAATTTATATTCATTTAGTTTTGTCCGCGGCTTCGCTAGTTTGGATAAGCGGGGCAAGGATAAAAATTGATCTAAATGTCCGGTCCAAATTTCATCAAAATAGAATAAACAGAGTTACTTTCACATTTTATAATATTAGTATGGATATCATCAAATATTATATTCAATATAAAAATAAATACATAGGTATATGCTTTTTATTATTTATGTATCTGTGAAAAAAGAAGCACAGACTATAAATATTGATTTCTAAACGATATATTTCATAAAAGCAATAATTCAGAAAAAAGTATTATTTATGTATATAAATACTAGTAATAATATCAATCAGACCATTCTACTACTTTTTTATCTTTAATTACTTTTTGTAGGTATTGTTTGTATATGTATAGAATCACATTATTTTCCTTTCAGGATAAATAAAAAGAACATAAGCCCTTACTTCTGTCATAGTCTTATTTATTTAAAACTAGCGACTCACCCTCGCTCCGCTCGCTTTGTCCCTACGTTATTACGTTTTGACGTTTAGTATAGATTTTTCAGAGATAAGATATTTTCCCGCAGTAAAAAGTAACCTATATGTTGACCTGGATAACCAGCTACCATCATACCAAATTTCATCAAAATCTGTCTAGTTTTTCCGTCAGGTAGTTTAGGTTCCGTAGGGTTAGGTTTTCCGTCGTCGTGATGCGTTCACAGAAAAACAGACAGACACACAAAAATTCTAAAAAGGATTCGGCCTCTGTATCGATAATAATGTCTATTTCAATAAGGTTTTCCAAAAAAAAATATTGTACAGATTCGGCTCAGTTACAATTTTATTATACGTATAGACTGAAATTAATATTTCAAAAAAACGTGTGTACTTATGTAGGCACGTAAGAAGTTATACTTCTTTGACGTAACAGAACAAAAATAGCTAAAGATTTCATCCGATATGTCACAACTCTCTGTTTATAAAAGGAACGATAAATTAATAAAAATAAATATATATTTTTTATCTTTACTGATATAAAACACGTGTGATTTATGGATATTTAAGAAACTACTTTGAATATAGTTATGAGTTTTCACGGGAACCGAAGAAACAGTTATCAGCTAACTTCATCACGTCACTTTCTGGCTGTCGGTGTGCGCGCACATCGTAAAAATTTTACTTTCATATTTTTTTCCAAACGTGCCAAAAGAAGTATAACTTCAATAAACTAATATTAGTTCCAAACTTACCAAGAATCATCTCACTGTTTCTAGTAAACAAAGTCGTGGGAACCTTCTTAATGCTTTGTCTCTACGTAATATGTGAACAATTGCATATATATATATATATATATATATATATATATATATATATATATATAAATATATTATTATAAGTATTTTAGTATTATTTTACATATATTATTTATTTACAAGAAAAGTTGTGAAATTACAAAAATATTTATTCGCACACACTACTAATATAAATGCGAAAGTTTGTTTGTGTGTGTACATATTTACCTCTTAACACTGAACGGCTGGACGGATTTAGATAATGTTAAGAACATAGATATACCACAGCTTGGAAAAACACATAGGCTATAAGCTGTTGATAGTAATAAAATATACCAATGATGATGATGGCTTTGATCGTTTGACGCTAAAAGACGCAAAGCCGATGTTTTTGTATCAAGTCTCAAACTGCACCTATACCTATACCTGGTGGTACGGAGCGAAGCGAGGATGAGTCGCTGTATAACATAAGGCTAAAGAGTTTTTTTTGTAGATTGAACGCGGGCGTATCTGCGGTTACTGCTAATAATACTGTTAGTAATGTAGTAAAAATTTGAATCATATTTACTTCATAAGTATAGCAAATACTAAACCTCATATACTTTAGCACCAGTTCGAATAAATGCAATTCTCATCGGATACAAATATTGTAGTATAAAATAAATAAATAAGTATGTTTGGATATAAAATCGAGTTTAAAAAATGGGGGGTGGGGGTAGGAGGGTGGAAAATACTTAACGACCTATTCTCATACCTACCAAAATTACAGAAAAAAATCATTAAAGTCAATCGAGCCGTTTCGGAGGAATGCGACCACAAACCGTTTTAACGTTTCAAATGTCTTTAACTGATCAAAATATTTTTAAATACTTTAATCGGCTACTAAAAGTACTATTTAAATCTTAGTATTTAAATCTCATACATACCACAAGGTTATACGTCACGATTGTTTATGTATATATTTTTCTGCTAATTAATATGCCGAAGTTGGATCAAAGGGTCACTGACGAGTGGAAAAATCAAGAAAAACAACAGATGGGATCAATCAATAATTACTTTTCGCAGAAAAGTATTTAGGGAAAGATTAATCGATATGATAAATAGATATGTTAGCAATTGACGTTCCTTATCAAAAGATAATGTGACACACAAATAATTTAATATAATTTTAGGCTTACGTCTTATATTATTGTGTTTATATAAGAATTTTTTCCCTGACACACGTCGTGTCACAGTAATTTGCTGGTTTTGCTATGCATAATGAGGGCTAAAGGTTTGACTCCCTCGCGGAATAAATACGAATGTGTGACGACGAAATGGGGCAGAATTTATATCTTGTGTATTGTTTTGACATCCGTGAAAAAGGCACAAACTAAATAGTATCATTACTTCCATACTAATATCATAAATGCGAAAGTGTATTTGTTTTTTTGTGTGTTTGTTCGTGTTTCTTTCACATCGAAACGGAATGACGGATTGGCGTAAGTTTTTGTGTGGAGATAGAGGGATGGAGAGTGACATAGGCTACTTTTTATCGCGTAAATTAACCCATTTGGACCCAAATACAAACTAGCACAAAAATTTTGAAAACACTTTTATTTATTTATCAATTGGATGCTAAAGATAAATTTTACGAAAAAAAACTGAAAAAAATAATCTTCCTTCTATGAAAAAAAACACCGTCCTTAACTGGGGCCAATGGGCTCATGTGTGATAATTATCAAAACATCCCGTTTCGATGCACAATGTTCTAACACATTTTTTATCTTGCCAACGTGCTTTCTTACGGCATATAACGCATCGTAGCTTTCTTGGTAAATTTCCATGAAAGTGTCCAACACCATTTTGACTCATATTTGGTACTGATGAAGGAAGTGTACGACGTCGTCCATTCTTCATTTGTTCATTCGTTGGTCTTTCAGTGCCTTCAGTCCTCAAATAATATCGGTCTATGGATCGAAGAAACTGGAGCTGGTCCATTTATCTTCCACGGCCAGAACGTGAAGACGCCAGGCATTCGCTACAGCCACATACAATATATACGTAAACAAAACCCACCAGCATTTTTCGCCTCGTATGGCAGTTCTATGCACAGCAACCAACTGATCTGCCTTATGAACTCCTAATATGCCTTTGTTATAATTTTGAAATACAAAGGGAATGTTTACATCTATCTTTCTCCTGTCGGTCAATATTTTGAGGTCACTAACATTTATTGGAAGTCGTGATTGTTATTTTGTACGGCAAACAACTGTGTATTCAGAAGATTCATGTCTATGATCTCGACACCATTTTTTTTTTCAGAAATGATGCTAGGACTTTGGTCTTTTAGTTCGTTTATAAGGGCTTCCTTTAGGTTTCGCACACTACTCACTGCATAGGGCTTGTCAACGTACGAATCGTCACATTTACGCCAAGTTGGATTCTGCTCTACTATTCTACGTATTTCTAAGGTTCGTCTTCGTGCTGTCCCATTCAACGACATTTTTATTTCCAAATATCTCACTTCACACATCTAACTCTTCCTGGTCTCTCTATCTCGCGGAATTGCATTTTGTAAGACATCATCTTCACCCCCTTCTTCTTTATCTGTGATAATACTCGGGTCTAGGGGAATAGCCACTAGGTCATAGCTGACGTCGGGATCCCCTTCCTCATTCAATATATACTTAATGGCTTCTTCGAGCCCTCGAAAGTCAATTGAGCCGTCATACGATCGTTTCGTTATTATTTACGCCGAAACTAAACCTGTCACAAATAAACGATAAATAACATCATATCAGCCCATTGGCCCTGTTTGGGAACACTACGCTAAAATAAAGCTATTATGGTCAATTTTCGATAAATACCTAATAAAATCTTAACAATTAATAGGAAAAACTATAGCCGAGTGAACAATATCAAAATATGCGAGATTTTTTATTGAAAACACAATTATTTATGACTTACCTTTAGTCAATTATCTTTTTACACAATGTAGTACATAAAACCATCAATTACAGCCACTTTAAGAAATATTTTCGAATATTATGTGATTTATCATGAGGATACACTCAATGACAGAACACATTTACATCAAAACCAACAGTTAATACAAAAAGTGAAAAGTTGAGGGTATCTAAAGAAATGGCCCCAATCAAGGCCAGCGGGCTTAAATGGGTTAATATGATTCCCGCGGGAAAACACGTTAATATACAATCCAAAAAAATATTTATGATCAGAACTTGAAACTTGGTATAAATGTTCTTCAATACAATTAATTAAGTACGTATTTTAGCATTTTTCGAAAATCATCCCATCATAAGGGTGTAAAATAACGAAGATTTTTTGTAGTTTAAGCCGCGGGTTCTGCTAGTATTTACCTATATAATTATAGACTATGTAGTAGAAGGTAACCTGTGGATCTTCTTATTCTTCATTCTTCAATAATTTTAAAAAAGAAAGTGATGCTATTTATATAACATACTGTCTTATTTAATAATTATGTCCTCCTGGCGGAAAATCTCACTGAGACTGCGCATACTATCTCCATATTATAGTGCACAAGTAGGAGTGGTAGTAGTAGCGGTGGTAAGGCGGACTCTATCTCTCTCAAATTCCGATGGGACGATAATTCGTCACGACCGGTGAGAGATGAGGCGCTATTCAAAAATAAAGAGGCTACTGATGATTGTGATTTTTTTAATAATAAAAAAATATATATTTAATTTTACTGTACGTAAAGGATGATCGCTTATGAATTTCACGAATAAAATCCACCGCTAAGGGTAAATGATTACTTTTAACGAAATTTTAAACTGAGTTTGCGTTGTAATTCTATGTGACGCCACCTGTAAAAACTTACACCTCTATGTAGCACTAACTATAGTAAATATCTTAAACTAAAATAGAGTAGACAAATTTGACTGTGTAGTACCTTAACATAAAAAGCTTGATTTGAGTTAAGCATATCTTTATAATGAACTAGCGATTCACCCTCGCTTCGCTCGGGTTCGTCCCTAGCTTGCTTCCCAATACAAACTTTCATCCCCATTTTCACCCCCTTAAGGGATGATTTTTGGGATAAAAAGTATCCTATGTCCTTTCCAGGGTCTCAAACTATCTTCTTACCAAATTTCATCTAAATCTGTTCAGTAGATCCAGAGATTACCCCCTACAACGTCACAAACTCACAAACTTTACCTCTTTATAATATTAGTATAGATTATTCTTTGATTACTGGAAACCAGCGGATGTAGAGTCAAAGGTGCTGAGCGATCGGGCTATATGAATATGCATTCAATCTTTGTTACGTATTATGCGTTATACGTATTCTGTACTGTATTTTATCACGTAAAGGACGCATGACCGTTTTATCCTTTATCAATGTTATTTTTGAATTGTAAATAGGTTTTAATGTTTTTTATATATATTACTGTTTCTTATTTAATTTTACTGTTTATAATCGAGTTTTATAAAGAGTAAAATTATGTATTCCATCAAAGAACGTACAAACATAATAATAGAGTTAGAAACAAAGTCAGATGTAAAGGTACATAGGTAGATACTAGATAGGTAGATAAAGTAGGTATTTTCTTTTAAGGGTGGTTTTTATGAAAACTATTTTTAATAAACTATGTATAACCTTTTAATACAAAATAAAAAAACTCATAAACTAACGCTAATTAAGGTACAGAAAAATAGGCATTATAATTTGTTGTGAATATTATGACGAGTATTTTATCCTTTTGTATCTCGATAAAAACTTAACTGCTTTAAGCTTTTTTTATTTTTGCTTTTTAATCAGAATTTTTATTTGTATTACGTACATTAAAATAAAATATATAAAGAATCGTTTTAAAGCAAATAAATAGTAAACTTATAACTGCCTAGAACTGTCTCGATGGTGTAGTGGCTAGCATGAACGGTTATACCTCCAGAGTCCTGAGTTTGAGTCCCCGGTCGGGCCTGGCCTGTATCATTTTGATATTAGTCAATTAGTCATTGCAAGATATTTTTGTGATTGATCGAAAAATGTTAGAACTCATAGTAGGTACCAACCTGTACCTATAAGTAAAGTCATTATGACTTGAAAAACCTTACTAACGACTTATTAGTCGTGTATATTTATATATAAACTTCCAGTCTGTATCTTTGTAATTCATCTCCTCCTAAATGACTTGTCCGATTTTGATAAACTTTTTGTGTGTATTTATGTAATCACCTGGATATAGTATAGATAGCTAACCAAGCTTTAGGTTGTTGGATCGATAAGGTGACGATATTATCGAGATAAAAATATCTTTTTTAATTTTCTGACCAAATGAAGTGTGTAACGGGACAACGTTTGCCTGCTTCCGCTAGAAAATGTTTATTGTATAGGTATGTGCCTAGGGGCCATTCATGAATTACATAAGGTTTCTAAGGGGGTTTCCCCATATTTTTCAAAATCTCGCCATGCCTTATCTCGGGAGTCGTGAGGAAGGGGGTAAGAGCCATTTTTACGTAATATTTTATAAATCGCAATGTGCGATTTCTAACATAGAATGATGGATATATGAGAGCTAAGCGTTGAGGAAAACAACTCCGAAATCTATTTTTTTTTCTTTTTTAATGTACAATTTCATTTATACATATTTTTATTTTGAAATTTTTTATTGTTTATTAAGTTTTCATAAGTTTACGTCAAGATATCTTAATGAATGGCCTCCTACATGTAACGGTAGAACCTTCTTCGCCAGCATTCTTGAAGACGGACTTAATCTGAAGCGCGATTTGATCAATACTTAACTGTTACAGATAAAATTACCGAATTGTTTTTTTTTTTATTTAAAGACATTTTTTACTCCAAGATCCAATCAGATGTACTGCCATTTTCACTACGCTATAAATATACCCTTAATTTGATTGTTGCTCTATTTACGTAGTTCCTAATACTATACTTACCCTTAATTCATTTTGACAAAGATTTCAGTAAACAAGACATACATACAATATTTATTAAACATCATTCGTAATAAGAAACACTTAATTGCCATTAGCTGGAATCGAACGTGCAACTTCCGACCAGTGTTGTACAAGCACATACCAGACGATAGTCATTAGTACATTAACTAATAAAATAAATGCGAAAGTCAGTTTGTTGCTGCCTTTCTATGTATTTTAATCTATATAAACTCATTTTACAGCAAGTCAATAGTGCGTTAAGAGAAAACGTTTATATACAGCTTATCCTTTAATCACTAATCAGATAAACTATTCACTGTAAACGAGTGTCTGTCATACTTCTGCGAACATTTAAATAATTTAGCAAATCTAATGAGTAATAACAATCGAAGGATGTCCAAAGAAATGATTACGAAATCACCAGATAAGTATAGAAAGCCACTTAAGTAATGGATCGGTCAGAGAGGAATGTTAATTGTGCTTGCGCAATTGTCATAGAAAAAGATCTGAGAGATAAATTACTTAACTATCCGAAATCTTATACATAAATAAACTAGCGAACTACCCTCGTGTCGATTACGTATTTTATTTATAATATTATAGACAGACAGCGCCACCTTGTGGCAAATTCTATAATTAACAATAGCTTATATCAGTGGTTCTCAAACTTTTTCAATTCGCACACTTACAAGGTTTAGTATTATGTCTCGGTGCCCTAGCCAGCCTAAATAGTGTAGCACTATAATCTATCTCTGTGCCAAATTTCATCCAGATCCGTTCAGTCGTTCTGGCGTGAAAGAGTAACAAGCATCCATACTCGCAAACTTTCACATTTATAATATTAGTATAGATTCTCCCTTATTACCCGAACATTAATTTATAAAAAACACACAAAGTTAAAATTTATAGTTAGTTAAATAATAATCTCAATTCGTCTGAATTAGCCGTCTGTAATTTCTTTAACATTTGAGACGTCAAAAACTTTAGTCTCTTCAAACCATGTTTGCTGTAAGCATTGGAAATGTCAAAAAAAAGTCATTTGTTCACGTAAATCTAACTAAGTATAAAATAAATGTAAGTGTGAAGCGATAAATAGAGTGTGTTGTGACCACACCATAATCATATAAGCATTCATGCGAAGGAAAGAGCATATAAGTACATAGTAAAAGATATTATATTTTATAGTTATCTTGTGACATAGCGTGAATGTGTACTGAAAATTTAAAACAGATGAGATAAGTTATACGAGTGAATACCACGCTATTTATTTACTTCGGTTTCCCTCATAAGGAAAAGTTAAAGATTAAAGGTTAAACTGTGCATTGAATAATTTTGTTCCCTACTTTTGATTGACCTTTTCATAAATTATTAAAAAAAACCCGACTGCATAAGAGCTAACTAAAAAGATGAAAACAGGTTCACAAAGGAATATAGTATTATGCAGTCAGAGACATACTACACGTTTCATCCTTGCCTCGAGATGTACATACATACATACGTACATACATACATAGGATGATAAGCACATTACCCTCCTTTGCGTAGCGCAGTCGGATAAAA